CTTCCCTGCTGGATGGCTGCTTGTTTAACTTCAAGCCTTTAAGACCCAAGATGCTATATCTTTTGATAGCCGGGCACTATCAGCTTTCTTCACCACATTTGTTTATGCACCCATTTTGTCTTCAGTGCTTGTGTCGGGAAGGTGAGTATCAAAGAGTGCCTGGTTCTTATGTTTAGGGAGGCCCAAAGTCCACCTGCTATCTTAATACTTAACATAAATATATGTACAATGGCCTCTATCCCTTTCATTAGAAATTAATATATTTACCTATATGCATACCTATAGCTATACCTCTATAAATAGCTTTTACTTCTTACTTCCTTCCTCTATTTCCTTTCAATTCTCTCCTACTATCATGCTCACCCTGCACTTGGCTCCCAGTAATTCCTCTTGGATACATTGCATTTGATCAAACCCCATGAGGCCTCCTCGTCATCATTTTTAGATCTCTTGTTGTTCCCTCATCCCTGACTTTTTTGGCTCCCCACTTCCTCTTTCCGCCCCATCCTCTCCCATGTCCCTCTGGGACTGCCGGTCTTATTCTTTTCTCTTCAGGATTGTTTGTCCTGCCTATCTTATATAGGTAGACATAGGGCTTGTCCTCTATTTTAACAGTAACCCAGGGCTTGAGGGAGCTGATCGGGAATGAGCCCAGTTCCCACTATTCTCAGCCATCTAGATTCTGGTTTTAACTGAGGGCATTCATTCTTTCAATGTCCCTGTTTTTTGTGGGATTTTGGTTTTTTTTTTTTTGCAGTATGCGCATTGGTTGATTTCTAAGGGCTGCCTGTTCTGAATCTGAGCCTTAGCTTTTTTTGGCTCCATAGGTTTCTGGGGGTGTCCAACCTGTTTTCCTTAAGGCTGCTTCCCCAGCTCGGCCTATAGCCTTTTCACTCATTTTTCCAGGCAACCTTTGAGCAATTTCTATTAATTCTGATAATTTTTTCTTAAAAGTCTTTTAATTTCTGTGATTTCCTTTTTATGCCAAGGCCAAACTGAGTTACAAAAGCCAAATTGACTGCTCTGAAGTTTGCAGGGGCCTCCGGGTCTGTGGGAGTATAGGTCCAACGGACATGTAGCAGTCTTTCTAAAAAGGTAGTGGGGGATTCATTACTTTTTTGGGGTTACTTCTGTCACCTTTGATCGGTTTGTGGGACAATGGGAAGGTCCCTTAATCCCTGCTGGTAAATACTGTTGATAGTTCAATAAGGCAGGGAGCCCTCCTTAAGTGTTTGGGTCCCAATCTGGCTCGACTAAGGAGAATTCTTTTCCTCATTTGTCTATTTCCTTCCATGTCCCCCCACACCAAGGCCCAACACAGCCATTTGGGCCCCTGGGTGAATATGGCTGCGCTCATCTGACATGAAAAGCACAACCGACATGTGCTGGTAGTCATTCCAAAGGGGCCCATGGGTCTGAAAAATAGACTCTGAATGTCCTAGGAATGCTTGAGGCTCTTTTCTTTTTTTAAAATGGGGGATGTTGGGTCTTCCAATTATATAGATCATTGGTTGAAGAAGGGATGTGCACTAAAATAAAAAGCCTGTCTCTGGGATTTCCCATTCCTGGTTTGTTTGTTTTTTCTCTCAGAAGCAAAACAGGGGCTTCATGTGGGTCAGGTGAGCCCCTGGATGGTTTCACCTTCATGGCACTCCATTCTTGTTTATCCACTTAACTAAACATGACTGCAACAGATGTCAAGCACACCTTTACACAATTTTTCCCAAGTTTAAACCATTAATTCCATTTTGAAGAAGAGAAAATACACATCCGAGAACAAAGAAGACTACATTCTTTCAACAGTTTTATTTATTTATTTTTATTGGTGCCAAAACCCGTGATGGAACCATTAACAGTTTTATTAACACTTCATCCACGGGCCATACAATTCAATCATATCAAGAAGAGTTGCAAAATTGCCACCACATTGAATTCTAGAATGTAGTCTTCTTTGTACTCTTACTTTGTACTCTTTGTACTCTTACTTTGTACTCTTACTTTGTACTCTTACTCTTGCTATACTGTACCCTAAGTAACTCATCTCCCCACTCCCCCTCTGCAAGGTATGTCCAGTTGTCTAGAGATGGGCATTGGGTCTCCATCGCGCGCCACCCTCATTGACAAGGATATGACTTTTCTCCCCGCCTTTGGTGTTTAAAGCCTGGTCCCTTTGGCCCTTCATGATCACACATGTTGGTGTGCTGCTTCCATGTGGTGGTGGTGGTGGGGCTGTTAATACATCGGTCATTGGGCAGAACTATCTCCATTCCAGAAATTGTGTCCCATGTACTTTATAGGCTGGAGAATATGGGGCACCTCATTTTCTCAGAAGATTGGACCTCAAGATCCTGCCATCCCACCTCCAAGCCTACCTGCTTCCTCCTCTTGTTCCTACCTGTGCTGGTGGAGACCATGGGACCTCTGGTAGGCATTTCCTCTACCCCTTTCCTCTTTGCCCTTCTACATTGTGAAAACTCAAAGCAGGTCTTGGTGACTTTCTCTTCATGTTCAGATCCAGCCTCCTCAAGAAAGATGTTGCGGGTGTGAGATAAGGCTGGGCCCCCAGGTTGCACAACCTTCTGGATTGCCTCCAATCTTTGTAGCATTCACCCATATCTTGGCAGCTTTTAGAGCACAGCCACCAAGAGTTTAGGAATGAATGCAACCCTTTTACACTCTTACCTAGGGAGGAACTAGTACAGTAAGGCAGTAAGCTCCTAATGAGATAATTCAGGTTGCCCTTCGCTGTGTTTACTGTGGCTCCAGGCCATTACATCTAAGAAAACACTCTCAGGAATGAACTGTTCTGACGGTGTGAACTTTCTTCCTCTATTTGAGCAGATTTTCTAGTTCTTCCAGAACTTGCATCACATTATAAGAACTGCAGAATCTGAGCGAGCCTTCCCAAAGTCAAGAGCTGTCTGGAGGTTCACAGCAGGAGCTCTGAAAGATTACTCCCCTGGGATCAACGTGCTCATAGGACAGTAAGATGATTAAAACTTTTTTAAAAATATATTTTTAAATAATTGTAACTTTTGAAATTGGAGATTTGGCATAGTACTGAAGACTTTCTCTAAATCTTTAAGTCTTGCTTTATATTTAAATACACATAACTTTATAAATGTAATATCCAGAAAACCAAGACATTGCTGATTTGAAAACAAAGGCTCCTCTCTCCACATTTTCTAGCAGATATTAAGTGTTTCCTGCTTGGTTGATCTACAGAGTTGTTTAGTCTCTAGAGTTTAGAAATGCTGCGTCTTTTTCTGGGCATAGGCAGTCACTGGGTTAGAGACAGTGCCTGTTCCTGAGGCGATCTTTAAATCAAATGTATAGATAAATTGTAACAGAGACATGCTGTCTTATTATAGTATCAATTAGTTAAAATTTATTTCTCTTAGTATATCATATACGTACCTTCCTGTGCACAGAGGAAGGAGCGCTGGTGGCACAGTGCATTAGAGCCTGGGCTACTAACGGAAGGTCAGCAGTTTAAAACCACTCACTGCTACATGGGAGAAAGATGAAAGTTTCTACGCCTGTGGAGAGCAACCGACTCAGCACCCATGGAGGCAGCTCTGCTTAGTTCTTTAGGCAAATGACTTGATGGCTGCAAGTTTGATTTATCATGCATATAGAACACTTAAGATGTAATAATAAGAATAACTACTTAGGCCGAAAAGAGTATTGTGTGTGTGTAGGCATACATACACGACTGTAAAAAATGGCATAAACACTTTTTAAAGACTTTTATTGGGGGCTCTTACATCTCTTATCACAATCCATACATTCCTCCAATGTGTCAAGTACATTTGCACATATGCCACCATCATCATTTTCAAAGCATTCTCTTCCCACTGGAGCCCCTGATATCAGCTCCCCATTTCTTCCCCCCCACTCCCCCGCCCACCCTCCCTCACGAACCCTCGATAAGTTATAGATTATTTTTTCCATATCTTACATCGTCCTCTGTCGCCCCTCACCCACTTTTCTGTTATTCGTTCCCCCGGAAGGAGGTTTTAGGTTGAAACATAAACAGTTTTAAAAAGCTGTTTGGGTTAAAAAAATCATGACCAAAGGTTACCATGTTCATTTCATCAATGTCAGAAGAGGCATTCGTGAGGTAGCACTATAATAACATTAATAATTGGATGATGTAGAAGATCATGGAGAGATAGCTACTGTTGAAAACCATGGGCCTGATGTTGGAGTGAATGACAAGAGTCAGGGATTGATTCTGCTGCTGGAGGGGAGTGAGGAGTTTACCAAAACACCAAACCCACTGATACGGAGCCAATCGTGACTCCTAGCGATGCTATGGGACAGGGTAGAATCACCCCTGCAGATTTCTGAGAGGAGATCTGTTATGAGAACAGAATGACTGTTCTGTTCCCCTGCTCCCCTGGAACGGTTGGTGGTTTCAAACTGTTGGCCTTGCTAGTTCTCAGCCTAATGCAATGCTACCCCAGGCTTCCTTGGGAGTTCACTAGGGAGAATCAATTTCTTGCAGGGGACATCAGGGGAGGTTTGCACAAAGTTTTCCTTATTTTCATCGTAAATGGCCTGGTAGCAGCTGAGATCCTCTGACTACAGAGTGAATTTTGTTGAAAATCTCTGTATTAGGATCTCGCTTCTCCAACTCTGCCATTCTTTCTTCAAGGAGACAAAAGGCTGGGATTTTTAGGTCCCAGTCTTCTTACTCAAATGCTATCTATCTGCTGCCCTAGTTCTATAAAGTCTTCTTGGTGAGTTCTTTATTTTCAATTGTGATCATTATTTTTTCTCTAATGCATCACCAGCAGTTGCACCAGATTTATGCTTTGGAGCCGTGGTTGCAGGGGTCAATAGAGGAAAATATAAGGCAAACACAAAATTTGCATACAATTATTCCACACAGGGCTAATAGCAGCATACACATCTACAAAAGGCAGGGAATTTGCTCCTTCCTCAACTGCTGCTGATGCTGTGCGATGTTTTCATGAGTGTCAAAAAGGAGTACCTGCATTAGTTATTACAAGCCATGGTATTTCATTCAAAATTGTTCATACAATAAGCGTTATGGTCATCTGTTCCTAAGTAAGAGTTGTCCTAATGGAAGAACTTGTTAAGTACTAGAAGTCAGTTCCGACTCAGAATGACCCAACAACAGAAAGAAACACCACTCAGTTCTGGGCTATTTTCACAATGCTTGACCCTCCGCTTCCTCCCACGAAGCTGTTGGTAGTTTCAAAATGCTGACCAGCCTGCAGATCACAGCCCAGGACGAACCCACTATGCCACCAGCGTCCCTACAGACACACTGACTAGTAATCTAATAGAAAGTGAGTCAAATCACTCCTTATATTTGGATTACATCAGTTAGGTAGATTCTAAACCATCTCTTCTTGTTTTTCCTTTAAACCTTTTGATTGCCATATAATTAATGTATCACACAATTTAATAGTTCGATCATATGAAGAACAGTTTTACAATCATCAGCACAATACATTTTAGAACATTTCCCCCTTTCTTGTACTCATTGTTATTAGCCCCCCATTTCTACTTTTTCTTGCCCCCTTTCTTCTTCTTTAAAGAGAAGTTGGAACCGTGAACAGTCTGCAGATTTGAAAGATTTGTACATTCAAGGCTGGTTGGAGATTTTATGTTAAGAAAGGTACTGGGTCCAGCAACTGGTTAATTCTGTAACTAGCAATTAATCCTTTGCCCTCTCCTCACAGGATGGAGGAAAGAAAAGAAGCCAGAAAAGCCAGGTAGGTCACCCATGCAAATTGGCTTCTCCAAGACCGTAAGGACCATACTTCTACATAATAACACATGCTTTCTACATTTGTTGCTAATCGCTCCCAACCTGCAGCCGTGTTTTCATAAGGCCTCCTTATGTCATTTTTTTACATGCAGCTGTTAAAAAAACCTAGCATATCACATTTTCAAAAATACTTCCCAGGGATATTGGCTCTGATTTACTATATTTGGACACTTTTAAATGAGAGAAGCATCTCCTGCCCTATCCCCAGTCCACGGGGCAGTGGCTTTGCCCCAGGATCAAAGGACCTCCACCCGATTCTGCATCACTGGTTTTGTCCTCTCTACTTAAAGGGAGCCCCCGCCTTGCAAAGTTCAGGTACTACCAGCCCTTGTCCACCCTTGACTTGACACATGATTTTTTTTCCCTGATTATTCAAACTTCAGTAGATGGAAGTTGGGCTTCTTATTGACTTTAAAATTTTATTATCTTTAAAAACAACATTTCTTGATGTTTTTGGTGAATGGTTTACAACAAATTCAATTCTCATTTAACAAGTGCCATACGAATTGTTCGGAGATGGTGGTTACATTTTTCACAGTGGGTCAAGATTCTCATTATTTAACTTCTGGTTGTTCCATTGCCAAAATCTGTCTTCCCTTCCCTGACTTACCTTCTTAATTTTGCTTTAAAGTCAACATTGGTCATCTGTCACAGATGGGTATTTTTAAAAGGAACATAATGTTGGTTGGTTTGATGAACTGGTCTGTTATTTAGCTCAAAGGTGACCTTTGGGGGGTAGTTTCAAGTCAAAGTTTAAGGAGTATCTCAGGGTTAAAGTTTCAAGGGTTCCTTTAGTCTCAATTGGTCCATTAAGTGGACGTTTTAAGAATTTGAGATGGTTCTACTCAAGAATTTGAGTTGTTTCTCTTATTGTATCAGGGTTCATCTATTTTGGCCCTGATCAGAATCCTGGCAGTAGCCAGGATCAGATTACCCAATCAGCAAAATACTCCTGCATCAAATTGTTCACTATAGTATGTAAGCACGAGTCAATATGTGCTTACCTTGTTGACTGGGTGTCTGTCCCTGTAAGCGATTCTACACTTGAAAGGGGGCTCTAATTCTCTAGGAATGGCTTCTGGAGTTGGGAGAGAGATTGGTGCCTGCCATAGCTAGAAACAGAAACTTTGGTATGGTAAAAAGATGTGAAACTGTGCACCATGGATTAGTAAGTAAAAGTAAGCCCGAGCTTAAGGTGAATAGAGTCCAATGGCTATACCTTAGATCGTCACTTGCAAGCTTTGAACACCCCAGGTTACACAATGAACAGAGAGGTAGAACAGAAACACTAAAACACGCTATTAGGCCAATTAACTGGGGTTCCCCACAAAACTCTGACCCTCCCTCTCCAAACCAAAGAACCAAGTTCCAGGAGTTGTTTGGTTGTACCCAACAAGCTCAGCAATTACTCTTTTTTTTTTTTTTAAGTTGATCTATCACCCAACTATTGACAATTCAACATACTGACAGTGATTACAATAATCGGCCATGCAACTTTCCCACCTAGCGATTAAATCTTCTCCCATCCTGCCCGCCTTCTCCTAGTGAAAAACAAAGAAACTTTGCTCTCCATACATTTGTCTTTTCTTGCTTTCTTTGTTGTTGTTGTTTTTGTTTGTTTGTTTATTTTTAAATCATTTTATAGTGAGGTCTTACAATAATTGCCTTTTTATAATTGGATTATTTCATTCAATATAATGTTTTCAAGCTCCATCCCTACTGTAACATATTTCAAGACGCAATTTCTCCTTCTAGCTGAGGAATATGCCATTGTACGTATGTAACATATTTTGTTTATCCATCCATTGATGGGCATTTATGTTGTCTTGGTTACGTTTTGGCTACCGTGAATAGTGCTGCAATTAACATTGGTGTCCAAGCTCTGTTTAAATCTCTGCATGTAATTCTTTGGAGTATATACTTAGGAGTGGGATTGCTTGTTTTGTGTTTGGTTGTTTTATTTTTTGAGAAACTGCTGTATTGTTTTTCATTCCTGTCGGTAATGAATAAGAATTCCGACTTCTTTACAGCCTCTCAAACATTTGTTCTTTTCTTTCTTTCTTTTTTACATTTGTTATTTTCTGTTTTGTGTTTTTCTCTTTTTAACATTTTTTTGTTATTGTTGCTTATGTTGTTTAATCTTAGCCATCCTAGGGGGAGTAAAATGGTATCATATTGTGGTTTTGATTTGCATCGCTCGGATGGCTAATAACAGTTAACATCTTTTCATGTGTCTGGTGGTCATTAAAGTGCTGTCTTTGGCGCTTTGGTGGTATGGTAGTTAGGCAATGGGCCTAACTGCTCATGGTCATCAGTTCAAAAGCATCAGCGCCCCTCAGGAGAAAGGCTGAGCTTTCTACTCCCATAAACAGTTACAGTCTCAGAAATCTACATGGGGTTGCTGTGAGTCAGCGCTGACTCAATGGCAGTGAGTTTGGGTTTGTGTGTGTGTGTGTGTGTGTGAAATGTTTGTTTGAGTCTTTACCCATTTATGCTATGATTGTCTTGTTAAGTTACTGAAGTTATATATCTGGTTATTAGATTCTTGATATCTAAAAACTCCCTCCCAGTTAGTAACTTGTCCTTTCCGTTTTTGGGGAACATCTTTTTTCTTTTGTTTTGTTTTTGAGGAACAAAATTTTTTCTTTTTTATGAAGTCCCATTTATTTTCCTATTTGTGCTCCTGTTATTATAGTAGATAACTTGTTGTCATAAACGAGGCTAGACAGCATTGCCCACCTTTTTTTCCCTTAAGAATTGTATGGTGTTGGTCTGCACCTCTGGGTCCTGAGTGCATTTTGTGTAGCGTGAAGCCTTTTGTGGTCACAGTTGGTCACAGCCTGGAAACCCAAACTTGCCAGGTTGGGGAGGGAGTGTGTCTCCAGCCAGATGCTCCTGGTGGTCTGCCTTGTTGCTCAGAGAGTGCCCCAGGTGGAGCGTGGGTGGTGAGTACCATCTCACCCTAACCTACAGCAGCCTCAGCCAAACACTTCTCAGTGTCAACTGGAAGCAGGGACAGACTTGCTCTAGTTGATGCCCCCCAAGCCTCCAAGGGGTCTGTTGGTTTCAGAGCTTCTTGATTTTAAAAATGATATATTCAGACTGTCCAGTTTATATATTAGACAGCAACTTCTGGGTTTTCTTTAAAAAACTGCCGGTCCCATTATATGGTCTTTATCATTACTAACAATTTTCCATTTAAAACATGCCTAATGTTAAATATATTTGCATTTTCTCCCTAGGAATGAAAAGATTGTGAACTGCTTATACCAGAAACCTGATGCAATTTTTAGACTAATTTGCTTTCCCTGGGCAGGAGGTGGCTCCACTCATTTTGCCAAATGGGGCCAAAAGTTTCATGATTTACTGGAAGGTACGTTGATTTTCATAAACATTGGAGCACTTTATAAAGTCAGGTGACAAGCACATGTACTAACCTGAGTCGGGGTAAAGATTTTCCCTACTGACCAGTCGTTTATCAAAATTGGCATTCAAAATTATTCCTCAACAGGGTACTTCTTAGGTTTCCAGAGAAAGAAATGGTGTCACCTTTATTTTATCATTGCTGTGACATGGCCCTTCAGGAGATGCATTCCAACCCTAGATTTATTTTGATTGACCCATGAGTGATATAATTGAAGTGAAGGCAACTCTTTTGAATTTTGCTTTCAATTTGTTCCACTCTTGGTTTGATTCTTTTCTTTTTTTGAATGAAATATTTAAAAAAAAATATTCTCTTTATTTCCACTATTGCTTTAGGAGCTATAGATCTTAGTTTTTTTATTTTAGTGGTTGCCCTCAAATTTACAATATGCGTCTTTCATTTATCACAGTATACTTTCCAATATATGTCATCTGATGTAAAATTTAAGAAAGTTATTACAGTAACTTTTATTTCTCATTTTCTGTCCTTTATTGTACATTTTACTGCTATAGTTTCTTATTTTCTTTGAATAATCAATGATATTTTAAAAACTATATTTACCATTTTATATAATTTTTAGTCTTTGTCTAGACTGCATTTCTCTACTTCTCTACTTCCTCCCCATCCTCTACTTCTTTGTCTAAACTGCATTTCTATATAGAATCATTTTCTTTCACTCTGACTGAGGAAATAATTTTTGTAGTACATGTAGACA